GGTGGTGGTGGTGGTGATGGTGATGGTGATGGTGATGATGATGGTGATGATGGATGGTGTATATATTACTTACTTTGTCGTTGTGGCCAAATGCCTGACGAGACCAATTTAAGAAAAGAAGGGCTTGTTTTGCTTTACCGTCGGAGGGGATGCCATTCTTCATGGCGGGCAAAGCATGATGGGAGGAACTGAGACAGGTTTTCACACTGTGTGCAGAGTAATGAATGCCGGGTCTCAGCTAGCTTGGTCCTTTTTGTGCAGCCTGGGGCCTCAGCCCATGACAATGTGCCCTTACTTCAGTTAACCTGACTGCCTGGAGGTAAAGCTTCCGTTGGTGATTCTGGGACCCATTCAAATTGACGTGAAGATCACCCATCACAGAGGACTTTCCTCTCTAGGGGAGCTTTGGGGGGACAGTATAGAGCCCTTCTCTCAGCGTGGCGTTGGCTCTGTGCCTTGGCTTTTTGGTTGGGTGTGTGTCTCACTCAAGGGCAAGCTGCCTCGTAAGTCCCCGTCCATTGCAGTTCTGGGAGACTATGCATGCAGCAGGCAGGTCAGAGCAGATACCGAACATGGACCTCAGCAGCACCGGAGCACAGTACACACCTCCCAACTCGCTTCCACTCAGCCCACCCTTGGGATCCTTCCAGATTCAAAGGAACTAACCATCCCAAACCTTCCGGCCCTCGGAGGAGGCTCCTTGGGACTCCTGCCATCTATCTCCCTTTGCACTGAGGCTAAGGCTGTGTTCTCAGCCAAACAGACCCGGGCAGCTTTCCAGACTGGTCCTGCCAATCATTAGCTAGAGCCACATGGTGATGGCGTCCTGAAGTCACCTCTTGCTCAACGATTTAGGAGGAGTTCTGGCATTTCTCCTCCTCCCCTTACTGAGCTTGGTTCCAAGTACCGCGTCAGCAGTTGCCTGTGTGTGAAACTTTCCTAGCAGGGGACATGCCCTGTACTGTCCTGTGCTGTGCCACTGGCCCCTTTCCCACGGTTTCTGGTCAGCACTGCCCCCAAAGGTGTGTGCTAGAGATCTTAATGTGCTTAGCTAAATGATACCTATGGCATTCATGTCCTGATTGGACCTGAGGGATGGAGAACATGAAAGGTCTTACTCTCGTCTTTTTTATTTTGTAGTAAAGTGTTTCACTGGTTTTGGTAAACGATAGTGGATGAAGACGTAAAAGGTACCAGCCACTGTGCAAGACACTAAGGCATGGGTGGTTGTTCCCAGGTGGAAGTATAGCCTCAGTGGGACCTGAGAAAACTAAAGAATAGATAGCATCAGGTGACCGTAAGTGCTGTGAATGGGGTAGAGTGGGGTACGGGAAAGACAGCCTCTTTGAGAGCCATAGATTAAGCAGAGACTAAAGGTTGTAAGGAAGGCAGCTGGATAAGGGCAGGGGTGTTTTTTTTTTTTTTAATATTTATTTATTTTATGTATATGAGTGCTCTATCTGCATGTATGTCTGCACACCAGAAGAGGGGGCATCAGATCGCATTATAGATGGTTGGAGCCACCCTGTGGGTGCTGGGAACTCAGGACCTCTGGAAGAGCAGCCAGTGCTCCTAACCAGTGAGCCATCTCCCCAGCTCCAGCTCCGGGTAAGGTGGTTTTGTAAGGTCAGGGCTAGCTCATATATATTTATTTTGGTCTGAAAGTGGAACTGGGCTTGGTGGTACACACCCACACTTAGTCCCATAGCTTTAGTGTGTGACCCAAGAGAATCAAGAGTTCAAGGCCAGCCCAGGCTTCAGGAGACCCTGCCTCAAAAGTATCTGAAAGGAGGCTCAGGTGTCTGCAGAGGCAGAAAGGGTGTGGGTGAAGCCAGGACAGGTGTTGGCTGGAGCCCCACAGATTTCAGAGTCCTATTCGAAATGAATGAGGAAACTTTTTGGAAGGCTTCAGGTTGGGAAATGGCTGGTTCTTTAAAACAAAACAAAACCTTAAGGACTGGGCAGGTAGCCCAGTGGGTAGAACTCTTATCTCAAAAGTGAAAGGACTGGAGTTTAGGTCTCAAGAACCTGTATAAATGCTGAGTGGGCAGGATGGTCCTCTTGTAATTCCAGTATTCCTCAGAAAATAGACCCCAGAACATACCGGCTAAGCTAGACTAGCTGTGTCAACACTGCTGTCCATAAATATGGTAAAGAACTTTTTTGTTTTTTTGAGACAGGGTTTCTTTGTGTAGCCTTGCTGTCCTGCACTTGATTTGTAGATGAGGCTGGCCTTGAACTCACAGAGGTCTGCCTGCCCCTGCCTCCCTAAGTGCTGGGATCAAAGGTATGCACCACCACACCTGGCTGAAGAACTAATTTTTAATAATGGAATTTTTTTTATACACTATATTCTGATCAAGGGCTTTCCTCTTCCCCCAGACTCCCCAAACTCCCTACCCACCCAGATTCACTCCCTTTCTTCCTCTCTGTCATTAGAAAACAAACAGGCATCTAAACACACAAGGTGAGATGCAAATACCATACAAGGACGAACAAATCAGAATAGGACAAAACAAGCTAGAACAGAAGAAAGCCACAGGAAACACACAGAGACCCACAGAGACACAGAGAAGTCCCACAGAGACACAAAAGTGGAGAACTGTTGAGGGAGACTCCGACCTCCACACACATGCACACACACATACACACACCATACATATGTGTGCATATTTTAAAAACAGAACAAAACAAATTCAGGACCAGCAAGGAAAATGGCGTGAAGGAATGGCAGTGAAGACAGATATGCTATCACCGTGTAGGAAATGAGGGGGGCAGCAAAGCCAAGTGCCAGGTGGAGCCTACGTGTATTGCGATGAGATCTGATCTGGCTAGATTAAGTCTGAGATGCCGTGAGTGAGGTGCCCAAGGAGCAGAACACAGCAGGGAGGCTCAGAGGCAAGCCTGTGGAGGCTGAGATAGAGTGCTGTAGAGTGCTCAGGACCAGCTGGCGCTGGGCCAGCCTGGGCTTAGACTGTCCCGCAGTCACCCTGAATCCTGGGCTAGGCAACACAGGTAACAGCTTTCTCCTTCCCAAGGGGAAGTCAGGTTTGGAGGTAAGGGGAAGGTTAGCATGAGTGCCCAGAAGCAGAGCAGCCCACAGAGCTGGATGGAAAAATCCCACCTTCCTTTCTGTTCTAGACCTCCATAGTCTACAGAGCACTGCAGCGGACAGTGAAGAGTGATGTCAGAGGTCTGGAGTTGGGGGAACTTGGGGGTAGACATGGACATGCGTCCACATGAGACCGAATCCCTCCTCTCCATCCTGGAGTTCCCTGTCACCCTGGGCTCCAGCACCAGGCTGCTGCCAACCTCCCACAGTAGTCCAGGCCCTGAGTCTGGGCAGGCAGTATTCTGAGTGTTGTGCACAGTACCTAGGGTGGGGGTGGGGGCTGGGGGTTTAAGTAAGCTGAAGAGGAAAAGAGGAAGCTTCAATGCCCCTGGGAAAGAAGGCTCCATTTCCCATCCTAGGGAGTGTGTCCTTGTATCTAGTGTTCTCTTGCTTTCTTGAGGGTGTGGAGGGATTAAATGGAGGAAGTGTGGCAGTTCCTAGAATAGGGTGGGACCGTGGCAATTGCCTCGCCAGGCTCTGCAGCTGTCCCTGGTAGCCAAGCTCTCAGTCACATTTCCCAGCTTGCACAAGTTTCTGTGTGCCCAGCCAGGCCCCTGGGGAAGGTTCTAGAATAAAGGTCATTTGGGTGGCAAAGGGGAACTTTCAGAGGATACAAGTTGTGTTGACTTGTCCCAGACTCCTCCTCATTGCAGAGGGCCAGTGAGGAACTCAGGCCTGGACCCTTGGTGCTGGGCCCTAGTCCTCTCTCAAGCAGGGACTATGGCATTACTAGGTGAAGAAAGAAGGGCGTTGTGGGTTAGAGGCCAGTGATGACTAAACATGAACTGGTGTCTGCCAGCCTGGTCTCCTGTTCCTAGGGTCTCCCATCCCTCACATTTAGAGGAGGCTGTGGGGACCGTGTCCAGCTCTAACCCTAGCTGGCAGCTAGCCAAGTGGCCACTGGGGATGGAGGAGGGCGGGAAGGAACTCGTTAAACCCGAGTTTGCTTGTCTGTTTGCTGCAAGGCTAATTGCTGGGAAAACCCCATGACGTTGAAGCCATCCCTGTGTTAGCACAGAGAAAAACAGAAACCAAAATAGAGACCCGTCAGGAAACAGCCTCTGACAGCAGAGACAAACAGCCTGCTGGCCTGGGTTAGTCATTAGCAGGCAGCTGCTGCCACGGGGACACAGGAGGAGGAAGTGCAATGAGCAGTTGCACCCTGCCCCCACCTGCTGAGCTGGGCAAAACCAGGGGCAACCATAGCCCACAGGTAGCCACCCCTGCCGTGCCCTGACTGGCCTGAGGTAGCCACAGGCTGAAGCCGCTGAGGTCCTGAGAGTATCGGAGTGTTGCCAAGGAAACCAGAAAGGTCTTCTGGATACCCCTACGTGCTTGAGACAGTGGAGTTCACAAGATGTCCAGACTTCTGCTCCCGACCCAACCCCAACCCCACCCCCATCCTCAATTCATCCTCTTCCCAGCTCCGTGTTGGGATAAGGCAGAGGAAGAGCTGGCCATACTTCTCATGGGAAATACAGCAGTTATCACAGTATTCTTTGTAGCTGTGTCAGTGTGTGTTTGTGTGTGTGTGCATGCATCCATGTGGTGGGGTACACGTGTCCTGAGCACACGCAGAGGCCAAAGAGGATGTCAGATGTCATGCCTATCACTCACCACCTTGTTCTTTTAAGACATAGTCTCCCAGTGGTCCTGGATCTAGGCTGACAGCCAGTGAGCCTTAGCATCCCATCAACGTTGCTAAGGTTACAGGTGTCTACGGCTAGGCCCCAGATTTTTCGGAGAGCACAGCAAGTGTGTTTATCCACTGAGCCGCCTCCCTAGCCCTGTGTTGGTTGGTTTGTTGGTTGGTTGCCCTGCCTCTTGAACCCAGGGCCTTGCACATGCTGAGCCAGTGCTGTGCCACTGAGCCACATCTTCTGCTCATTAACGCCCTTTGCACATCTGTCTTCCTTGAAGCCTAGAGCAGCTGAAAGCTAGGACCAGGCCATGATTCGGGCCACATAGGAGGCGTGACAGTCATGTTGGATGGGTCTCTTGGGTATGTAGAAGGCCCCACAGCAGGCTTGGAGACCCCCAGGGCTTCTATCCAGAATGAAAGTGTAGCAGGTTGCCTGGGCTTCCCTGCTGGCCTCTTTCAGTTCTCCTAGGCAGGTGGCCTTGCACATCTGGGACATCAGCCACTCTACTGAAGCTCCATTTCCTGCCTCGGGGAGTCACTCTAAGTCCTTCTGCTATGCCTTCATCATTCTGGCTGCCCCGAGCTCTGCGGGGGGTGGACCACTCCTGGGCTTTCTCTGGCGCACAGGACGTGGGCAGCCACCATCCTGGACTTTTTTAGTCCTGCAGCCCTATCGCCCATCCCTCCAGCAGCCTGCTCGCTCTTTCTTTTGTTCATTTCTCTTTTTTCCTTTTGTTTCGCTTGTTTGCTCACTTTGTTTTTCGACAGGGATTTTCCCTGGCTGTCCTGGACCTTGCTCTGTAGAGCAGGCTGGCCTTGGACTCACAGAGATCCACCTGCCCCTGCCTGTGCTGGGATTAAAGGCGTGTGCCACCACTGTCTAGGGGGGTGCTCTTTATTATATAGACAGGAGATCTCAAACGGGGCGGAGTATGCCCAGGCCTTCTGAAGTTCAAGGGTCTGAGTCAGAGATGCCCCAGGGCATGGACTGGTGCTTTCTCCATCACTGTCAACAGTGCTAGGTGCCCCTCAAACTATGCAAAGCCTGGGAGTGAGGGGGGGGCGGGCATAAGCTCCGGCTTTGCTCTAGCAGAGCTCGGGCTCCACCGGGGCAGACAGCTGTGGGAACCAAGAAAGTCAAGAAGTCAGCATGCTTTGGGTAAATGTCACCAAACTGCTGTGGGGCCACAGGAGCTCAGGTAAGTGCTCAGGGGAGAGAGGAGTGAGGTTGTGGAAGGACGGATATATGGAGGTGATGTTTGTTCAGAGGCTTGGAGCAGTGGGGTAAGAGAAAGGACACGGTTAGCCGTGAAAGTGCTCAAGGTCCAGGGGAAGGAAGAGGTCACTAGAGGAGGGGCCTCACAGCAAGGGGAGAAGGCGGTATCTCTGGTGTAGTCGGAATATTCACGTGGTGCCTCAGGCATCTGCAATGAGGACAGCATGTCTGCATGACACTGTGGTGGTGGGACATCTCAGCCTCTGGGGCAGGATGGGCAGGGGCAGGGGCTAGCCCATATCCATCCAGTGGAGCAAGGAGACTTCCTGGCCTTTCCCGCAGGTGGCAGAAACCTAGGGTGTGTTCAGGTTTTATCCTGTTTCTTCAGACTCTCTTGGTATACGTACGCATGCCTGTGTGAGTGAGTCTGGATACTGAGCACTAGTGTGTATACAGGACATACATGTCTGTATGTACAGCGTGTGCAGACTCTGTGTGAGCGCACACAATACCTGTGTGTACACGGCCTTGAATGTATATCAATATAGGAAATAAACAGGTAGCCATCTTTTCTGGCTCTAGCCCAGAGAATTATGACCCTGGCTACAGGTTCAAGACCTGGCAGAGCGTTAAAAACACCAGTGCACCTAGGTGTAACAGTACTGGTCTGTAATCTCAGTTCTTGGGAGTCGAAGTCAGGAATTCAAGGCCATCCCCGGATCACACAACAACTTCAAGGGCAGCTTGGGCTACACACAAAACTGTCTCAAAGAAACAAAGCAATCAAAGATTGCAAAGCAACAGCAACAACAAAAACTAATGCTGGGACAGACAGGCCTCAGAGTGTTTCACTTAGAATCTGTAGTAAGCCTAGACGTTGGCACCAAAGGTGGCTGGCTGGTCTAGCTGGCTGTGCCTGCAATTGGCCACTGTCCCAACTGACCTATATGGCTGCTGCTGATGCCAGGCTCCAACCCAGAATCCTCAGGGTCCAATTTTAGCTCCAGGGGTCCAGGGTGGTTGAGGATGTACAGAACACTCATGAAGAGTGTACGTACACTATGCATACAGACATCCTGGCTCTGACAGGAGAGACCTGCCAGAGCGGCTGGTGCAGGGTCTCTGTGGCAGGGAGAGAAGGAGGGGATCCCTAGGCTAGGGACTTGGGGTCCTTGTTTCCTCAGGTCCAAGATTTCTCCCGGCAGCCGGCCTCTTCACACAGTGGCCTGTTAACCTCCTGCTCTCACTCTCACGGAGCTTCTGGTTAGGTCAGGATCTTGTAAAGTGGGGGAATGGCATGTTCTGTGACAAGCTTCTGGACAGGGTGGGGGGGAGCTCAGCAGTGGGCTGGCCCGGGGCTCAGGGGCAGCTACTGACACGTGCCTGGTCCCTTTTCCAGCTCTGGGAACGAAAGCCACAGAGACGGTGTACAGTGAGATCCGGAAAGCCGACCCTAGTGAGTGAGGGGCCCTGACTCTCGGGGTGGGAGGGTTCCTGCTGGCGTCACTGATGGGGCCTTAAGAGTGGGCGGGGAAAGCCTAGAAGAGCATCGTCTTTCTTTTTCCCCTTTTTCCTTTTGTTTTTGTTTTTAGAGACAGGGTTCTCTGCGTAGCCCTGGCTGTTCTGGAACGTTGTAGACCAGGCTGGCCTTGCAGTCAGAGGTCCACCTGCTACTGCTTCCCGAGTGCTGGGATTAAGGACATGCACCACCACTGCCCAGGAGAGCATAAACTCTTATATCAGGCTCTGACTATTCTCCTCCTACCAGCCTTAAGAGTACAGAGGCCCAGACAGCACCAAGAGCTAAACTCCACATTCCTGATCCTTGAATTGCAGTCTTTGGTTGGGGATGAAGAAGCTGGCAGGGTAGTTGTTTTTTTTTGTTTGTTTGTTTGTTTGTTTTTTCCCCCTCTTTATTCTTCTGGGTTCCTGCCTGAGACCTTGCAAATGAGACAGATCAACAAGGGATAAGCAAACTGGGCTGATTAACATGCAGAAAAAACCCCAGGGAGGAATTACTCCAAAAGGAGATTAGAGGGTGAGGCTCTTGCAATAAACGTGCACAGAAATGACACGACACTGAACATGGCCACGCACGCCTGTGATCCCAGCACTGGGGCGGAGGAGGCTGGAAAGTCTCATGGTCGCCATTGTCTACAGATCAAGTTCAAGAGTAGCCTGGCCACAGGAGACCTGGCTTTAAAAGATGGAGGGAGGGAGAGAGAGAAAGAGAAAAGAAAGAATGAGGGGCCGGAGAGACCTCTCAGCAGTTAAGAACACCGGTTGCTCTTATAGAGGAAGGGCTTTGGTGCCCAGCACCCCCACATGGTGGTTCATAGCCATCTATAACTTCAATTCCAGGGAATCTGACACCCTCTTCTGGCCTCCAGAGACATCAGGAATACACACAGTACACAGATATACATGCAGGCAAAACACCCATACACAGAAAGTTTAATTTTTTAACTTAAAAAGAGAAGGAAAGAAAAAGAGATACATAGACAAGAAAAATGAAACAGTTTTAACCTTCCAAGGAAAGCATCTGTCTGGGGCAAATTGTCCTCATGGCTCTCATTTTCTCCACTGTTCATCTCTCTTGGTGTGGGTTCCAGTCATGGCCAGATCCATTGTCCAACTCTACCTATGGTAGGAGTTAAAATTAGCATCCTTGTGTGACTGGGATGGTCCTGGTCAAGTCATGGAACATCCCAAGACTTCCATAACTGTCTTAGCTAGGGTTTCTATTGCTAGGATAAAACTTCATGACTAAAAGCAACTTGGGAGTTAGCGGGGGTTGGTTATTTGGCTTACATTTCCACATCACAGCCCATCAGTGAGGGAAGTCAGGACAGGACTTAGGGCAGGAACCTGGATGCAGGAGCTTATGTCAAGGCCATGGAGGGGTGCTGTTTGCCGGCTGTCTCCTTGTGGCTTGCTCAGCCTGCTTTCTTAGAAAGCCCCAGAACACCTGCCTAGGGTTGACACTACCCACAGTGGGCTGAGACCCCCTCATCAGTCATTAACCAAGAAAATGCTTGCCTGTAGGCAATCTGATGGCGACCATTTTCTCAGCAGAGTCCCATTTCCCAGTCGTGGTAAAAATTGACCAGCACAGTCACCTTCTCTGTGAAAAGAGAGGATGGTCTCGATTCTAGGTTCTCAAGATTTGTTAAAACTCAGATTGCCTGATCCACTCTCAGCCCTGAATATCTGAGTCCTTTAGGTTGAAGGATGCATTTCTAACCACCCATATGCATGTTGTTGGCCTAGGCAGGCCCGGGAACTCCCCTTTGAGAGCCAGCCTGTGGGTGTTGTGATTGTGCCAGACCTGTCCTGCTCCTGGGGTCTCTCCTCAGACATCCTGGAGTGATCAGCCAGGGACAGCTGAGGGAGAGAGTCTGTGTGCAGAGAGCAACACAGAAACCACGTGGGATGTGGGCAGCCAGGAGCTGGCTGGATGTAGGGCTGGGCCTTAGCAGACATTCCCCTCTCTCATTCCTTACTGTCTTCTAATCCCCGGCTCTCCAGCAATGACTGTTTTGGGAAATGGCTCATAGGGCGTAGTTTTTGGCTCTTAAACACCCTTTTCCCCTGAGAGAGTTGAAGGAAAGCCACTCCCCTAGATAGCAGAAGGCCGTGCGCAGGGCCACCTCCAAGGAGAGGCTCAGAGAAGGGCCCTCAGAGAGATTCGGGTGGACGGGAGATCAAAAAGAGGCGGGAGGGAGCCGTAAGCCAGGGAAGGTGCACACCGCCGTTTGCTATCTTGGCTTTAGACTCTAAGCTTACCCTCTCTTCTTCTATTGTTACCAAACATACATAAAGCTTAGCATTTTAACCGTTTAAAAAATATCCTGGGGGCTAAGGTCCCGCAAGTCCTTTCACTCTGCTGGGCAGCCACTGTTCCCACCACCCAGCTCCAGAATCTTCCCATCTTTCCAGTTCCAGCCCTCGGTCACCACCATTCTACCCTGTCTGTGAGTCTGGCCAAGCTCAGCCTATTCATCCGTCAAAGAAAGGGACTGAACCAACTGCATAAGCTTATAATCATAACACTTCAAGGTTGCCCTGGCAAGATGGCTCAGTGGGTTAAGGCACTTGCTGCCAAGCCTGGATAGCTGAGTTCGAACCCTGTGATTCACACGGTAGAAGGAGAAACTGAGCCCTGAAAGCTGTCTTCTAACTCCCAAGTGAGCACTGTGGCATGTTCACCTCATCTTCCAAATTAAGTAAATAAATACCTGGCCTTGGTGTCAAACACCTTTAATCCCAGCACACCTGAGGTGGAGGCAGGCAAATCTCTGAGTTCGAGGCCAACCAGGGCCACTAAGCCAACTCAATCAATCGATCTAATAATCAATTAATTAATTCAAATAATTTCAAGTTCCTGACATTTGGTGATGGAGACCATTTCCTCAGACTTGGCCCCCCCTAAACCTATCCACGGTCACTTTAAGGATTAATCCAATCCTCATCCTCAACTCACCCTCCTTTCTCCCTTGACACTAAAACCCTGCAGATACTTGCAGGAGGTCCTGGATCTTAGGGTCTGCCTTTCTGCGTTTCTCTGGAGTTCACGTTGGCCAGAGTCTGGCCCAGATGGTTCTTTGGGCCATTGTGATGGAAAGCACCATAGGAGGGCTGTCTGGCTTTGGCTCCCATCTCATCAGACAGGGTGACGCCGGCATAGGAACTACTATACAGAGAGTAGACGGAGGTACACCCCAGTGGACGCTGGGAGGGTAAAAGATGTGGTGGGCCAGTGGTCTCTTCTAATTCAAACATTCAGAACCCTTTAGGGGTCTGCTAACCCTCTCTGCTAACACGCTCTTGCCCCAGCAATGAACTCTTAGGCTTAGAGAACAAGTTCCAGGACAGCCAGGGCTACACAGAGAAACTCTGTCTTAAAAAACAAAAGCAAAAACAAACATTTAGGTTGATAGATACTTTACCTTCTCCTATGTCCATATACTATGTGGGTGCCTGTTAGCACAGAGGCCAGAAGCCCGAGTCCAATCTCCTGGAACTGAAGTTACAGGTGGTTGTGAGATCTGAACCCAGGTCCTCTAGCAAGAACAGTCAGTGCTCTCAACCACTGAGCCACCTCGCTAAGCCGTTATGTTTTCTTTTAGATTATTTGTCTGAGGTTGCAATTTACAGTCTAGTTAGAGTTTACGAATGAATTCTCTTACCAGAAAAGGGGAAAATCATGTGTTTGTGTGTCTCCTTTTGTTTGTTTATTCGGAGACAGTGTTTCTCTGTGTAGAATCGGCTGCTCTGGACTCTCTTTGTAGATCAGGCTGACCTCGAACTGCCCACCTCTGCTCCCTTAGCGCTGGGATACGGCATCCACACACGCCCAGCTGTTTGTGTGTCTGTTGGCACCCAGTAGAGAACTATAAGAGAAAGTAGGCCAGGGCAAGGCCTGATACATTTCTGTCTGTAACTTAACTAGGACAAGTTTACCTAGGCTCCATTGACCAGACTTCCTGGCAGATAATCTGAGTTGCACCTGAGGTCGAGTGGGTTTTGTTTTGTGGTGGTGTTCTGCGGTGTGGGGGGACCCAGGGCCTCAGGTGGGTTGAGGTAATGCTCTCCCACTGAGTTGCACGCCCAACCCTGCAGACATTTTCAGTTGTTACAACTCAGTGCGGGGAGCGCAGTCCCGGTGAAGCCATGGGTAAAATCTGGTAGGATCCTGCCAAATACCCCACAGTCATCTCTTCTGAGCGTTCCCAGCCCGGAAAGTCCGCATGGCGACACGGAGAAGCCCTGGTCTAGAGGATGGCATCTCTTGTGCTTGTCCACCAGGAGGGCTACCTCAGACACCAGCTTCCCTGTGTTCACCTCAGGAGCTGACCACGGCACGTCCCACCTGTACCTCTGGCCAGGAAGAGAGACCAGGTCTTGCTTTCAGCTCCACCCTGAGTCAGATGGGCACCCCAATCTCCACTGAAGTGCCAACCACTCAGCCTTCCTCCAAGCCTGCTTTCTCTTTTTTTCAGGCTTCCAGGATCTTTCCTTTCCATTTCTTTTTCATTCCCTCCCCTCTCCTCTCCTCTCCTCCCTCCCCCTCCTCCACCACCCCCCCCATTTCCTTTAAGACAGTTCAAATTAATCTCCAACTCAGTCCTCCTGTTGCAGCCTCCCAAGCCCTGGGATTACAGTTGTGCATCACCACCGTACCCAGCCCAGGGTGTTTGCATCAGGGGGCAAAAATTCCTAGTGTTTCCCACATTCCCTACTGCCCCAAGAGTGACTGGGCTGAGAGTAGCCATGACAGAGTCATCAAGAAAGAAAAGAATCTGGGCGCCATGGCACTTGAGAGGCTGAAACAGGAGGATTGCTGCGAGTTTGAGGCCAGACTGGGCCAGTGTAAGACCCTGTATCAATTTAAATCAAGGAGGGGAGGTCTCTGGGCAAGAAGCCCCAGGTGTAAAGGTGGGGCATTCTCCGGCCACTGAGTTTCGAGGCCTTCCAAGCTTCTAGAACTGTGAGCAGTGAGTTTCTGTTGTTTCCACTTGAGAAGGAAAAAAAATGAAAAAGAAAAAGGAGGGGCCTCCTGGCTAAGTCCCCTCTGAAGGGAGAGAAGAGCACTTGAAAGTTGGCCCCCGCCCTTCCTGTATGGCCCAAAGCCGGTTGGGTCAGCAGGTGCTGCCAGGGTGGCACTTCCTCCCTGAGCATGGGAGATGAGAAGGAAAAAAAAAAACAACAAAAAACCTGCCGTATGCCACGGCTCCTCCAACGTGCCCACCAAAGAAACAAAACCTACAAGTCAGCGCAGGCCTGCCGTCCCATCAGCGCTACCCCAGAGACAGTTTTAGCATCCTGTGTGTGTGTGTGTGTGTGTGTGTGTGTGTGTGTGTGTGTGTGTGTGATTCCAGAGCAGGGGCAAGCCTTTAGCCCAGCGAGAGTGGAAGAGGGGTGCCTTAGAGATGACCACTCCTGTTCCCTCAGACGGGGTTTGAAGAGGAGGTCAGCTTGAGGAAACCGGGTTTTTATTTGTTTGCTGTTCTGAGACAGAGCCTGGAACTCTTGAGAATCCTGCATTCTCCACAGCTTGAGTACTGCCACCTTCCTCATGCTGTGCTGCCACAGTAATTTGTATGATACTGGGGGTCAAACCCGGGGCTCCATGCGTTCTAGCACCGGCCTTTACCACCGGCCACAGGCCCTTGTCCTTGGCTTTCTCACAGTGGCCTCTACCATCTGTAAGAGCAGCCACTAGCTCCATCCCCCCATCCTCTCTACCCTCTTACCCTCCCCACCTCCCTCCCTCCCGCTACCACGTGGGAACCTTTTCCCATAGAGCAGGTGAGGTCCCCACTGTGCCGTTTCCACAAGATGGGGCGCTCGGTGGGCCGCCTGGGGAATCAGCTCCAGTCCAGAGCCCCGTGCAAAGAGGCAAGTCATCCCCCTCCCTTCCATCCTGTGCGGGGTGGGCCACCTCCCACCGGTGCAGGCAATGGCGCTACCCTTCCATGCAGAACCTCCTGCTTTCCTTGGCGGTCTCGCTCTCTCTCCAGCCTTTCGGCAATGGCCCCGTGCACAATGGTGGCCCGGGCACACTGTGCACCCTGGCAAAGGGATGAGCGAAGGAAGAGGAGCCTCACCTGGGAAAGGGGAGTTATCGGCCCCGCCCTCAGGCAGTTGGGCCTCGAATGCCAAGGGCCTGAGCTATCCTCCTGTCTCCTGTTTTCTCCAGCCTTGCTCCCGGGAATGGGCAGACAAAATAGAATCAACTATGGGAATAGCTTCGCTGCCAAAGAGGATATTGGTGACATTATTTATTTAAAACAGCAAAAACCTGGAAAGAACCTTCTTTTTTTTTTAAATTTAGTTTATATGTATGGGTGTTCTATCTGTATATAGATCTGTATACCATGTGTGTGCCTGGTGCCTGAGGAGGCCAGGAGAAGTGGTCAAATGCCTTGAGACTAAAGTTATAGACAGTTGTGAAGCACGATGTAGGTGCTGGAATTGAACCCAGATCCTCTGGAAGGGCAGCCAGTGTTCTTAACCACTGAGCCATCTGTCCAGGCCCAGAACCTAACTTTTTAAAGTAAGGAATTGGTTAAGTAATCCGTTGTATTAGCCACTTGACTTGATGACATAGCTATTTGGACAGTTGTGTTTGAGGAGGTACTTGAAAGTTCTTATGCAATCACGCGGCATGTAAAGGTACAGGATAAAATGCCACGGGCCTTCTCATCAGAACTTTTCTTGACCTTCCCCAATAGTTTCCCCAGAACCCTGCTGGGGGAAGAGTGGGAGAGGCCAACAGTACGTGGAGGGTGGGAGCAGAGATCACTTTTGTTTGCAACTTTCTAATTTCCTGTTATTTGCTATTTTTTTTCTACTTATAAAACAAACAAACAAAACCCCAACAACTTTAACATGACATGACACAGGAGAAGCCAGGCATAGTGCTATACTCCTTTAATCCCAGCACTCTGGAGGCAGAGGCAGGTGGATTTCTGTGAGTGTGAGGATAAGCCTCGATAGCTTTGAACAGATAGTTTAAGAACAACCAGAGCTACATAATGAGTTCCTGTCTTAAAAAAAAAAAAAAAAAAAAAAGCCAAATGTGGGGGCGTAGTTGGTAGAATGTTTACCTGGCACAGATCTCAGCTCCCCATGAACTGTGTATGGTGGCTCATGCCTATGAGTGGGGGATGGGAGGCTCAGAAGCTCAAGGTTATCCTGGACTAAATAGTGAGTTCAAGGCCAGCCTGGGCTATGTGAGACCCTGCTACAGAAAGGCAAAACAAGGAGGTGAAAATGTCAGATAAGATTCCAGGGACTCTGTGTGCCCATCACGCCGTCTAGGAGGGCCCCAGAAGCTTGTCTCAGGACAAAAGACCCTCAGCAGCCGGCCTGAGACCCCTCCCTCCTGCCCTGCGCAGTGCCAGCAGCGGATCCAGTGTGAAGCCGCACTGGACCCTGCGCGCTCACCACTGTGCTGTCTTTGTTTTGCAGATTTCATGGAAAACAGACACTCTGTAAGTACACAGTTCACACACATCCTCTTTTAAAAAAAAAAAAAACGCTCCTTGCAGCCTGGTCGTAGCCCATGCATGAATTGTCACACTGAGGACCGTGGTGAAAGTCTGAGGCCATCCTAGACCACAGAATGGTTTCTCAGGATGTCCCGGACTGTGGGGCCGCGGAGTGTAACTGGTTTTTTGTTGCTGTTGCTTCTAAAAGTGTTCTGTAGAACGGTGAACTATTTCCCAGTGTGCCCAGGGTCTGATTCTTCCTAGCACCTCATTCTAACCAGGCCTCCTCTAGCGGTTTAAGCCAGCACCGATATTCCTCCTCTCTTCCTTTTTACACCGTTACAGCTCAGCCTACATAGGGAGAGGGACCCTGGAAATCCTCCCGTGTGGTTGGGAACCTTTGTGGTCTTTTAGTAAGAAAGACAGCCTCAGGTGCAGTGAAAGTCTGCACACTTGAAAGAGGAAGTTCAAGGCCAGTTTGAGCTACAGACTAAGTCCTTGATGAGAGAGAGAAGGAGGAGAAAAAAGAGGGGGAAGAGAAGAGAGAGAAATGAGGAGAGGAGGGGCTAGGGAGAGAGCTCAGTTGGTAAAGTACTTACACAAGAATCTGAATTTAATCCCAGAACCCAAAGTGAAAAATCCAGGTGTAGGGGCGGCACGCCTGTAAAAACCCCAGTCCTGTGGAGGCGAAGACAGGGGGATCCCTGGAGCTTGCTGACCAACTGGTCTAGCTTACTTGGGTGAGATTCCTGTTGAAAGAAAGGAAAAAAAGAAAAAGAAAAGAAAAGATGAACGGTTCTTAAGGAATGATGTCTGAGGGTGACCTCTGGCCTCTGTGCACACAAGCACACACTCACATACGAACACATGTACGTATGCACACAGGCACATGTTCGAACACACACACAGAGACACATACATACAGAGGGACATGCAGAATAACGGCAAGTGGAAGGGAGGGAGGGAGAAAGGGAGGGAGTTTATTGCCTTCTAGTTCCCAGCCTGTCTGTGGGCACCCGGCAGCCCAGGGGTTAACAGGGCAACTATTATCTTAAAAAACAAAACAAAAAGTGAGGAACTGGCCTCTCAACTGGTCTTTTGGGTCTGGGAGAAACTTCCAGCAAGACTTCTGCAGGCTTCAGTGGGCCCCTGGCTTCCTTTGTTTTGCTGGGTCTGAATTCTTGTTAAACTGAGCTCATTATGCTCTTGACAGACAGGAAGGCGCTGACGTTCTCTGTACGGAGGAAGGTGTCCGTTTACGGAGAAGGGGAATGAAATGAACGGCTTTTTCGAGCCTGCACCCACCTAGGCTTCTGAAAGCGCTGCTGTATCGGAAGGGGTTCGGGAGCCTGTTTCATAGAGAAGGAAATGGAGGCCTGGCTTGGTAAAACAGCTTGCCCAGAATTACCTTCGGCCAGAAACAAAGGCCAAGACTCCAAAAGCCCAGGCCTTGTGCTCTTTTCTTAACACTGCCCTCAGTGTTAAGGAGTGACGTGACATGAGCGGGCTTGGTGGCACACACCTTTAAACCCCAGACCTGGGAGGCAGAGGCAGACAGATCTCTGTGAGTTCAAGGCCAGCGTGAGTTCCAGGACATTCAGGACTTTGAACTGACATGAATGTTCCACAAGAGCTGAGAACGACAACCTTGCTCCATAGACAGGGTGGGACCCTGAAAAACCCAGTTCTCTGGCTGTCCACATTGCTGTCCCGAGGTAGGGCTGCAAGCCAGCAGGCAGCACTCTGCTGAACCAACTTATTTACTTTGCCTTCCACCCAAAGAGTCTCTCTGGACAGAGACTCGGAGCTCCGGGTCATTGGGGGAATAGCTTTCCCTCAGCCCAGAAGTCTGCTGTGCTATCAGAGTGCTCCGCATACTGATAGTTGGGCTAGTTCTATCCCCAAAATAATAAAGCCAATTTGGCGGGAACTCAGGGGTTCCCAGCAGTAGAGAAATGAATTTTGAATCTTGAAGCAAATAGATTTTGTTTATAAAAGAGGCAGGCAGAGTTTCCCTAATAACCAGCCAGTGAGGGTCAGAAGAAAATTAACTGAATTGCCCAGCAGGGAAATGGGAGGGGCTTCCTTCCTGAAATCAAACCTGGCGATCATTCCTCTCTTGTTTAATGGCCATTGCTTCTGAAAACATATTGGAGGAAATATCTGGACAATGAGACAGCCACTGTAGCCAGCTACTAACTTGGTATTGTTTGACTTGCTTCAATGGCACGTTCTGACTTCATTTTTCCTCTGCCTTTTTTTTTGCCTTGTTTATAAATTGTGTTTGTGGCCCACGCAGACAGATAACGTGGAAGAGAACGCCCTGTGCTTAAAAGAAAGATGTTGAATCTGGACCTGTGAAGGTCTCCAGATTGTGGAAAAATTAAAAAAAAAACAACAACAACAACAACAAAAAAAAAAACACCCTGACTCTTAGAGTTTGGGAATAAGACCATACCAGTTACAGCTCGCTTCCCTCCTCCCCAGCCGGGAGCTGAGCTGTGACTGGACCTGCTCAGGAGTGGGGCTGGGGCTGCTGAAGATTGGGGTTCCAGTTCTACAGTCTTCTTGCGGGGTGACTTCCTCAAACCTAAGCACCCCTGCCTAAAAAGTAGTGATGTGTTAGTGATAGTGACGATGACGATGGCAATGATGGCGATGAAGGTAGTGGTGGTGATGATGGTTATAATGATGTTGGTGATGATGGTTATAATGATGTTG